AACAGATCGATATATATAAATTGGGAGTCGCCGCTTCCTCCTTTCGAGATACAGTCAGTTAAAGTTTCTTTCCTTCCTTAAATGTTTGCTATTTTGCATAGCATGCTACATAAGTAATGTAGGAAAGCCCAGCATTATTGTCTTGCAGTGAAGCAGTTTTAAAAACGTAGACAGAGGTTCGTTAGTTGTTATTTCTTTATAGATAATTCACTAGTTGCATGTCAAATTTTAAGTGAAATTAACAATAAAATTTAACACCTAAACAGTGCTCTTACAGTTGCTACAGACCCCTTTCACTGTCAAGCTTAAGCTCACAGAAACTGACTCTAATAGAGGTTTTCTTTCATTTCGAATGTAATTTTTGTAAAAATTAATTAATTAAAATGCTGTAGTAATCAAACAAAGAAAGCACTTTGAATATGTTATTCTTATATAATTAGTTGAAAATGTACTGCATACACAAGTTAAATACGTATCAATAATATAAAATAATTTATTAAAAAACATAAGGTATGAAAATTATGATATTTCTGATAACATTTCAAAATAATAATAATAGTCGACTCCCCTGTAACACTGTTGATTTTTCCGTTTTATATGAATTCCCTGTTGTTCGAGTCACTTAGATTTTACAAATACGTGAGCTGTTCACAGCCCGGCACACGTATTTGTAAAAGCTAAGTGACTCGTACAAAATGGAATTCATATAAAACGGAAAAATCAACAGTGTTATAGGGGGTCGACTGTATACTGTATAATTAAAATAAACGAAAACTTTATTCTTTTAGTCGCTGAATTCAAGATTTTGAAATTTATTTCTTAAAAAAGTAAATGTAATTTATAATATATAAAAAAATGGTATAGATAAGAAAATATAATCTATTTTTCTCTGTATTTTGATTGACACCCAGGACGATCCAATATAGCATCAAGAAAATTTTTTTCCCTGATAAGAGATGATGGAATGCTGCCAACGATATATTCTTTCACTACATTTTAATGTAGAAAAGATAAATTTACATTTGAAAAACCAAGTTTAAAATGTTAAAAACTTAGTTTATCGATAATATCCTAGTTTTAAGAATGATATATTATATATATAATATAATATGCTGTATGCCCAACACTGTATGCTCTCAAGTTGTTTAATTTAGAAACATTTATTACAAATTAATTCAGATTTTTCATGAAATTTAATACACATTTTTAGACTATTTCTCTTTTCAATTAAATAAAAGAAAAAATATAGAAAAATTATAATAATTTTTATCATTATGTTATTTATATCCTAAACAAAATTCTTTGATAAATGTTCTTCAATATCCAAATTAACTTGCAAATCTTAATGCTGGACAACGATTCGGGGATATATAAAAGAAAATGTATAAACGACTTTTTGTGTAAATTTCTAAAAAAGGGGGATTTTGAGATAATAAAATCGAATATATTCATAAGAATATTTTCCTTTTTTAAATTCTGTATATTCACTTCGTAACTTTTTGACATTCGTGAAAAAATCTAACCGGGTTTTTTAAAAAAATATAAATCAGAGATACGAATAGGAAAAATACTTAGAAATTTAAAAACGTTCCTACAGATTATGAAAATAGAAAAGTTTCAAACTGTTGGAGTAAAAAAAAAAGTATAGTTTTGGATATCTATCCCTTTCCAGTGTTGAAAAAAAAGGAAAGTTTCTACGTAATATCTTTCTATTATTAAGATGCAAAGTTAAAATTGAAGACCTATTAACTCCCATTAGTATTTGTCTGTTCGTCTGTGCATCGTTAATCTAGAACACGTTGTTAGACAAATAATAGTCAAGACTGGATATAGAATGAGAAGGAGCAATAGGTCCCAATTCCGGTCTAGAATGGAAGACACGTGGTTTCAATTCAAAATATTTTCAGAAGGAGCAGTAGGCCCCAATTCCGATCTAGAATGGAAGACACGTGGTTTCAATTCAAATATTTTTACCAAAACGGAGTTTAAATATGACTTTCTTGTTATCAGGAAAAGTATGATCTACAGGGGCAATTTGAGATGGAGAGCATATATTTTAAATTAAATAGATTAAAAATTGCAGCCCAGTATTGTGAAATGTCATAAATACTTGCTCTTTTTTAAAATATTAAACAGTAAACATTTAACTTTTCTATTTTTACTAGAATTTCTGCTATTGTCTTCATATTTGCTTTTATCACCAGCTCATTGTTAAGGGATAATAATATATCAGCGAATGTTACGAGAGTTGTCTTATGAGCAAGGTCTTTATACCATGGTTTAAATGAATATTTATAGTGAAATTAATAAATAATTTCAAAATGGATTAAAATAATATACTCCTTCTATAAAATAAATAAAAATACGTTATCTTTTTACTCAATCTCTTTTATAAATTGACGTCAAAAGTTTATATTTATTACATTTTCGAACTTGTGTTTCTATATTTATAATCTATAAATATATTTACTTCGAGAACACTTCGAAAATTTTGCTTTTAAAAGCTTAGGATTCCTTGTCCTTAAATAATATACGATGTGGAAACGTACAATGAAAAAGAACAGCAATTCTTTAATGTTATTCTCAAGTTTACAAGGAAGACAAATTGGTTTAGTAACTTTACACTTACAATCATTCCTCATGTATGTCGACTGAAATACCTTTAAGAGGATATATTTCTTACAACGTAAAACAAAATTGCTAGTGCAATAAAATACATTGATTTTCATGTTTACAGTTGCGTAATCTACTTAGAAAAATAAAACAAATCGTCTATACATCAATCGAATAGTGTACTTTAAATAGTTTATTTTTTTCTGTTTATATTCAAATATTTTTACATATACATATATAACAGAGGTAACGTGTGACGATCACTCTATAATTCCACCCCCAAGACTTTTGGACTTAAAACACCTTTAAACACCGAGAAATGCAAAGGAAATTCAGGGGTAATTTCTATATGTATAGATGTTAGTGGGGGAAGCACAATTTTGATTACCCTCTTTGAAGCTTAAAACTCCTGTGCTTTTTGTTGAAAAATTTCTGAAATTTTGCAGGGAGGTCTGTGTATTAGGGGAATTAATGCTATTAAATTTGGGTTATTAAAAGTCCAGGGGTAGGGAAATAAAAGGGGACGTGTGTCGTACCTCGGGTAGGGCTGGACGTAATGACAATTTTACTCGTTATTAGCATTTAGAAGTGTTTTTTATAAAACAAATCCTTGTCCTTAGAATTAAGCTTTTTGACATTTTATAATAATTAAAAATGTAAGAAGTGTTTAATAATAAAATATGATAACAGATGGGGCCACAAAAATTTGCCAGAAAAGTTAAGCAACTCGGCGCTGGACTTTTTCGTTTATTTATATTTTAATTTATATAATAATAACCATTCAATTCGTTCTATATTCATCAAATCGATGTTTTCATATTGAATAATATACAGTACAGTAAAACCTGTCTAGAACGAAACTTGCGTAAACAGAAATAGTTCTTCAAAATGGAGCGATTTTCTATACGAAAAAATAATCTATTCAAAATGGAAACCTGCCAAACTGGAAAAATATTCTGTCAAAAATTCAAAAGAATAATTATTCAGTCTCGTTGCCTATATTTTACTCTGAATAACATTAATTTAATAAGGAAAAACCAAGCTAGAATCACAATGCCGGGCTGCAATTTCTAATCATATTTTTAATTTATTTAATTTAAAATATATGCCCTCCACCTCAAATTAGTAGTGGCTTGCCCCTGTAAATCATACTTTTCCTTTAGTAGTGGAGTAGTGCCAGTCAGCTATAACTCGTTTTAGGGAAAGTTTTGAATTGAATTAACGTAACCTTCTGTTTCATATATTATATAGTTAATATATACTATATACTATATCAAACATTATAACGTATATACTTAATCGGGTGTCTCCTGTCCCTGGTTTTCCATGTATCTAACTTCGTTTTCGAGATTAAGAAACTATAGATTTATCCAGATTATTATTGTTACTTTTCTAATACAGGATAGAAAGTTAAATAAAGTAAAATTTGTAAGAATTTTTATATTTTTAGTCACTCAAATTAATTAAATATTTGATACAGAGATTTACAGTTTAGAAACTTAATTTCGACAACCTGTTGCCTTAGCTGCTTTATATCTTCGTACAGGTGTTTGTCTCTAATAATCCTTACCAGAGGACAAGGAATTGCACTCTACAAGATGTACAGTTTTCTAATTATTATAAAAATAAAATATATACGTATAGATCAATTTCGTTGTCAGATAACTCCAGTATTAAAGAGGAAAATTAACTATGGACGTTGAATGTTAATAGTGATTGTGTCATTCGATTAACATTCATTACCGTTCGCACATTATGTTATCTTTTAGAGAAAGATTTGAATGCATTTCCTTAACTGTAGATTGGGTAATTAAATTGAATTACATTCAGATAAATTATTTTGGACACATTTCCAATATGTTTGCAATTTTCTATTCTTAAAGAATAACAATTACTGAGAATGAAATATGTTATTACAGTTGAATTATATTTAAGTACATAACACAATTTCTTTTTTTAATTTACAAATTTTTTAGTGTATTAAATTAATTAAAATTTGTATCAATTTTTAATTATCACGTAAAATAGTCTTTCGAATATCCATTAGTGTTGTACAGTTGACTCCCCTATAACACTGTTGATTATTCCGTTTTATATGAATTCCATGTTGTACGAGTCACTTAGATTTTACAAATACATTTGCCGGGCTGTGAACGGCTCACGTACTTGTAAAATCTAAATGACTCGTACAACATGGAATTCACATAAAACGGAATTATCAACAGTGTTATAGAGGATGGACTGTATATAACTGATTTAAATATAAATATTGACTTATAAAAGTAACGTTTATTTTTAATTAAACTATATTAATAGTTAGTTTTAATCTCTGTTGATATTCTAAAAATTTCCATTGAAAGTGTACTCTTGGGAAATGCAATTGTTAATAATAAAAGAACTAGTTTCGAAACAATATATTTTACATTTATTCTGTAACAATAACATCGAGGGTTGGCAATTATATTGTATTTTTCTAACTGCGACCCAAATTAAAACTATAATGATTGATTGCAGGTTCAGTAAAATTATAAATGCTTGAAATTTAAAGCTATTGTAAACGATAAATTATTATTTTTCTATAGGATAATGGAAGACAAACCAAAAAGAGGGATTCTAAAATCAGGAAATAATTATACATCAACGGAGTAATTATTATCAAATTTTAATGTAATAATTGTAATTTATCTTCGAGATCTTTACTATTTATATGTATTTATTCAGCAGAAAAATTAAAAAAACTGTGAAATGGGATGAATTGAATATCATACAAACATCGCCACCGTATAACAGATATAAAGAGCATTCAGGAAAGCCTTCAGGATACATTATCGCAGACAATTTATCCTATAAAAACAATAACAAATTAAATACTGAAATATCGACAATAGAGTAAGTTAGTAATTTCAACAAATTAAATACTTTTATGTAAATTATGTCCGAAGTAAAAGTATTAATATTTAAACTTTAGTCCCGAGTCGTTTGAATTAAAAATAAAAAGATTACGCACCGGAAACAGTGATGAAAATCTGAAGGATTCGGGTAATTTTCATTGTTTTTAATGCCTCAATTGATCAGTTAAGAGTTTAAAATAATAATAAAGTTTTAAGAAATGTATTTTCTAAACAGATGCAACAAAGGAATTCGAACGGAAGCGAAAATCACACTCTAAAGAATATATCGTTGCAAAGCTTGTAAAAGATTTTTTCAATGATGAGGAAGAGAGGGGATGAAGACATTGATAATAATTGACAGAAATAATAGGCTATATATATATACATCTAAATTTCGGCAATTCTTTTATGATTAATATTACCAAACTTAATTCAGCTTTAAATAAATAATTGACGTTGAATTTTGTCATAATTTTATCAATATTTCGGCGATCGACATTTTATGAATTTATCTAAAAAATGAAAAATTAAATTTGAAACTATTTAAGAGTAAAATGTAGATTAAAGTATAAGATTTTCATAATTTAACGGAAATTAAAAGAAGAATAAAGTACCACTGTCGTCAGTCCTTCTGTTTTTTCTTAATTCTTTACATAAATACATAGCTAGTGGCTTCGGAAGACGATACAGTTCTTTAAAATTGGATATAATTTAACTGAAAAGTATTAACTCCAAGCAGAAACTAAAATTAACGGCGTTAAATGCTAATACAGTAGGGCCTCGATTATCCGACCCCCGATTTACCGACACCTCGGTTAACCGATCGTCTTAGTCGGCAAATTTCAAATGTGCGCTAGTGATGTGGCGCTACCATATTTGGCTATGTCTTGGCTACTTTAATATTATTTTTACGTGTTTTAGCTGGCAACACTCATTCGACCATGAAAGGGAGCCAGTATTTAAACGAGACTTAATTTTCTAATTTTTAACGATACAATAGCGACGATTACTAGTTTTAAAAATTTTTGTTAGGCTTAACATCGATGAAAATTCAACGCGAAGTAGGTTAATAACGATATACTAATATACTAATTACATGGGATATAATAATATACTACACTAATAATGGATTTTTTCATACTTTTCGGTTATCCGACTTTTCAATTATCCGACCAACTCCTGTCCCCAATTGAGTCGGATAATCGAGGCTCTACTGTATATTCTTTCTAACTGCTTGTAAAATAATATTATCTATATACATCTAAAGCTATGATTTTTCACTTTTCTTTCATATAACAACTATAACGATCAGTAAAAAAAGATGACCCCCCAAGATTTTACATTTTTGGATTGAGGGGACATTGAAACATCGAGGAGGTTCTACATGTATAGATATTAATGTGTGGGAGGAGTACGATTTTGTTCTCCCACTTTAAAGCTTAAAAACTCCCTTGTCTTTTGTCGAATATTCCTCAAATTATGCACAGAGGTTTGTGTGTTAGAAGCATTGATGCTTTTAAATTTTGTTGGTTAACAATCAAGGGGGTAGGGAGTAGACGGGGGTATATGTTTCGTATCTCGAATGGGAACAGACTGAAAAGTTTAATCATTACTATAATTTGTAAATTTTTTTTATTATAAAACTCATCCCTACTCTAAAAATTTAATCTTTTTGTCAATTTGAACTTAATAAGTAAGAAATTTTATTAATTAAAAAATAAATTTGTTGAGAAAATACATAATAAACAAGTTAAGAAAATTGAAAAATTCGTAAACATCAGAAAGTATTTTTATTAATTACAATTAAAACACAAAGAGACAATTATAATTAAAATTCACAAGTCTAGAGAATAAACACTAAATTAATATAAAAGTTTCTTCACAATTTTACCCTTTCTCACTTTTAAATTAAATTCCTTTTCTTTCTTCAAACGTTTCTGGGATGTAATTTGAAAAAAAAAAAATTGTAGACACGTAAATTCCACTGTCGTCTGTCTGTCTGCCTGTCCTTCTTTAATCTCGGGATTAATTTTAAGGGTAGGGATGAGTTTGATTTAAAAAAAAAATTATAAATTCTAGTAATACTAAATCATCTTCATTAAGTTTGACACACTCGAAATACGACACATAAATCTCCTCTATCTCCCTATTCCCTCGACATTTAACCATCAAAATTTGTACTCACCAATGCTACTAACACACAAATCTCTCTGCATAATATCAGAAGTTATCGAGGAAAAGGGTAGGAGTTATTAAGCTACAAAGAGGATGAACAAAATGGTGTCCCCGCATCCGTACACACAGTAAAAACTCCCGAGTTAATTGAAAAAAAAACATTTAAATTTATCGATTATTTTTAACTTTAAATTGAATTTGGGAATGAGTGATACAATAAAAACAAGTACAAAGTCCTTTTCCGAAATTTAATTTTAAAATATTTATGCTTTTAAGAAGGAATCTTCAATGAAGTAACGCTGCCCATACTCTACTAACTCCATTAAAAAGGGATTTTTTTTACTATATAAAGTACTTGCTTTACTTTTTCATGTTACCGACGTTTCATGTTAGTATAAATAATATTAAAGTAAGTTCCCAGTAAAGATAGCACTCAAGATGAAATTGCTTTAAAGATTTTTATTTTCTATCAAATCATAAATTTCCTCTTAAAACTTAAATTTTTTTCGGTAAAAGTTCTTACAATTTTTTCATTATTATTATTTTAAAACAATAGATTTTTCAAAGGTTTATTGAGAAAGATGTGAAGAGTATTGTGTTGTAACTAAAGAAGGAAACAAAACAATAATAAAAGAACCAAGCCACCATTAATATAAGACCCAAATCCAAGAGCTGAATAACTTCTTAAGAGATAATGCATTAGAAATTATTAAAGCTGACAACCTAGACGTCAACAAAGAAATAATAGACTTAATAGAATTTACATACAGAAGTAACTATTTCGGAAACAATAGAGAATACTATACTCAGACAGATGGGATAAGTATGGGATGAGTGATCAGCCCAAAACTTGCTAAATTATTTATGATAGATATCGATAATATAATATATAACATACCAGGAATAAAATTCTACAAAAGATACGTTGACGACATTCTAATAATATATGACGAAAGAGGAATTAATATAGAAGAAATCAACAAGCAGACAAATAGTATACACAAAGCAATAAGATTTAAAATAGACACCGAAGATATAAAAAGAAAAAAACATTAACTACGTAGATATTACAATAACGAGATTAAAACAACACCTCGAATATAGAACATTCAAGAAACCGAGTTCTAACCAAGTAACAATAAGATATCAATCAAAAATTCCGTCTTACGTTAAGTATAATATATATATATATAATGGAATACGACAAAATCATAAACCGGACAAGCCAAGAAGCATATATAAACAAAGACCTTATGAAATTAAGAAAGGATTTCCGCAGAGATTACTGAAACAATGGGAAACCAGAGTTAATAACCCAGGAAACCTATGTAAAAATAAAAATAAACAAACAACTAAAACAAAATATATTAAGTTCCCGTATATTAAAGGTCTATATTAACAAATCAGCACAGAAATAGAAAGAATAAACTACAAATTAGTACCATCATATCAAAAAATGGAGAACAGACTGTTAACCCAGAACCCGAAGAAAAACCAGCAAATACCTACCGAATCCCAAGGTGTAGTATATAAAATTCGGTATATTTGCGCAAACACAAAACATTACATAGGAGAAACAAAAGGAATGGTAAAAACTAGATTCAAAGAACACATAGCGGACCTAAAATACAATAGAATAAATTCTACATTTTACGAACATTATACTCTAAACAGCTGTAATATAGACAAAGATAACGTAGGAATACTGCATAAAGAAAAATTAACATACAACAGGAAGTTTAAAGAAACCATAGAAATTATGGAAAGTATAGACAGTATATATAAAAACTTAAGTCTTAAAATAAACGAAAACTGGCTCAATATATTAATATAAATAAAAAAAATTTCCTGTGAAAATTGTTTTATATTGTATTTATTGTATTATAGTTGACTGAAGAGGGGCAAAGCCCGAAACGAGTACAAAACAATGTACCCCATCGACTTAACTAATAAAGATATTTGATGGAAAAACTTGCCACGTGTCTTTGGAATACAATACAATACTAGTGTTTACTAAGCCAGAATTATAGAACAGGACACGGTTACAAAAAAAAACAAAAATATATAGAATTATAAACATAAAAAATAATTTTAAATTGTCTTTATGTGAGATTTCGTCTTGTGTCTTCCAGTTGAAAAATTTCTGGATAAGAGATTCATTAGGTGATGAATTGGATGAAGATGTGATAATTCTCCATTGTCAAAAATAAAATACAACAGTGGAAGACTTAAGGCTAATTATTATGCACGCAGATGGAGTTAAGAATTTAATGTACAGTCGACCCCCCTATAACACTGTTGATTTTTCCATTTTATATGAATTCCATGTTGTACGAGTCACTTGGATTTTACAAATACGTGAGCCGTTAACAGCCCGCACACGTATTTGTAAAATCTAAGTGACTCGTACAACATGGAATTCATATAAAACGGAATAATCAACAGTGTTATAGGGGGGTCGACTGGTACTGTATTCCAATACAAACATTAAGAGAGTTTTAACTTAATTAGAAGCAATTTAGTTGCGTGAATTACTTTAAAAGTTCCTGAAATCTTATTTAAATTAAGTTAAACTTTTACAAAATCTAATTTAGTAATTATTCTTTTACTTTTACAATTTATTTAATCTTAATAAATTTAAGATTAAAAGATAAAGTGCCTTTCGAAATGAACAAGCAATTTTTCCCATTGTCTTATAGCAGTAATAATTAGCTTGTAATACCGTAAAGATTATATCACAATTTTATTTAACCCCTTTGTAGTATAGATGGTAATTTTTCCCCTCTATTCTTCATCATTCAGTCTCTCTCCATGTTGAGCTTGGCCTAACTTATGATGAATATAATTAAAATGCCCTTTTAGGAATCACAGAAAGGAAAAAGTGGAAGTAATATCGAAATGTATCCCATATTGTGCCATAAAATGCTGGCAAACTTCTTATAATAATAAATATATATTATTCACTTTTAGATTATTCTGTCCTATGGGCATTAATAGAGCCCAAGTGGAGAGGGGAATATATTTGCTGGTCTTCCAGAGAGGCAAAATGAGGAATTAAATGCCTCAGCCTGAGGCCCTCGAATATTAATGGATTATATTTCTACTACATTAAGTATTACGTCTCTAATTTTATTCATTAATCATTAAATAGATCCAGAATTTTTATTCTATAGCATTATAATTTTCAGGAATAACCTATTAAATTTATTATAAAATTTTATTTTAAGTTATAGGATAGTTTTCATGTCTTATTTAAAGTTTTTATTATTATTATTTTTTAATTTTAAAGAATGATTCTGTACGATTTACG